TAAGGAAACTGAAACCTAGAGAGACCATGTATGGAGTTTGCCTCGGGTCAAAAGATGAACCCAGGCTTTCTGAACCCAGAGTCTGCATTCTTACCCTGCGTGGCTCCCAGAATCTAATGAAAAAGGCAGAAACGAAAAGCAAAAATGGAGAAATACTGTATAGGCAGAAAGAAAGATACAGAAAAAAAAAAAAAAAGAATACCAAAAAATGGAGGAAGAGGAGGCTGATGAGACATTGAATCCTGGTGTGTGGATTCAGTGGGGAGGGCTGGTATGAAAGGCGGTGGAGACAAGGCAACAGGGACTTGGTAGGAACTCAGGTAAGACCACTGGGCCGGGCAGCTCTGGGGACAAAGGCAGGTTCACTTTGGCCGTGGATGTCAACACAAGCCATCACCAGTTCCCAGAGTGTCTCAAGGAGGACACGCAGGGAGGCGACCTGGCCTGGCCGAGGTTCTGTAGCCAGGGGTGCAGCTGACCCCGTCCCTCACTCTCGTGGCTGGAGTCTGACTTCAAGAATCAGATGGGAGCTGCCAGCTCCAGATGGGCTCTATTGATGCTTGGAGGGGGTCTTTAACTTGTACATGACAAAGACTTAAAAGGGGTTCAGGGAGAACGGCAAAACCCATACTTCATTTTCTGAAATAGACTTCTAATTTCTTCCCCCTAGGAACTGGTGAAAACTCTTTACCAAGCCTGACCTGGTCACAATCAGATCCATCGTCCCATGCTGGTTTGTTCCTGTTGGCTCTATTTGGAGATCCTTTGCTGATCTTGCTCCATTCTGGACTGTGCTGTGAAGGCTGCTTCTTTGTGTTAATGATTGCCCAGAATTTTCAGTCTTTCTATGTGCCGATTTTTCAAGTTCAGGATTTAAATAACAGGGTCTTTATCCTCCGGGTTGTCTAGGAGGGTTTCTTTCTCTCCTACTACTTAAACACGCTGCCAGTTCCTGATGGCTCTGGGCCTGATCATTTTTCCCATACTCCTGGCCTCACCATTTTCTGCCTGTGTCTGCTTGAATCTGGCTACTGCCTTGGTGCTTTGATCTTACGCCAGTGGTGCCAATGCTCTGACGGCTGGAAGGGAGTGATGAGCAGCAGGGGGCAAATAAAATATCTATGAATCAAAACATGGTTTAGGTACAACCCCAGCTGAAAATGGTCCCTCGGAGAGCCTCTGTGAGACAGAACAGATAAAGGCAAAGCGGAAAGATACAACCAGTGACAAAAATGATGCACTAGGAAGCCCACAAGCAAGTAAACAGTGTGCCCAAGAGTCTGAGCCAGCAGGTAAGACTAACTGAGTTTGCATGAGTGTGGTGGGTCAGGGGCCCCAGCTAGTGGCAGAGGAATGGACTAATGCACAACCCAAGGCAACGTCTGTTTAACACAAAAGGGGAAGGCCGTACAGACACAGCAAGGGCAGAAATGGAGCCTGATGTACTGAGGAGAGAGACATGGAGGAAGAAAGTTAGAAGGGAAAAACTGAGAGGCCGAGGAGGAAGAGTTAGTCGCAGAGCCTCACTGGGGAGGAGAGACAGAAACAGAAGGCAAAAGTGGTCAGAGAGAGATTGGAATCAGGAAAGCACGAACATCTTCACGGTGGGGAGACAGGGCTGTGAGTAGAAACAGCAGAGCAAAGGGGAAGCAGGATGAAGTATAACAAAACGGGAACAGGGCGGGCAAGGCTCTGGTGGATCTCAGCTGTGGTCTTTTCTAACTTCAGGAATCCGCGAACGGGTGGCTGTCCAAGTGAATAACGGGGATGCAAGAAGTGAGACGCGCAGCCCGCTGCCCTGTGCTGAACAAAGTAATGATTCCTCACCTTCCCATTTTCTTCTTTTTTTCAGATGCTCTGTTTTTTTTTTTTTATCATCTTAACCATGTTTTAACTGACCAAAAATTGCACCTATTTACCACATACAACATATTGTTTTCAAATATGTATACACTGTGAAAAGGCTAAATTGAGCTAATTAGCATACGCATTACCTCGCATACTTATTTTTGTGGGGAGAACACTGAAAATCTATTCTCTTAGCAGTTTTCAAGTGTACAGTACATTGTTATTAACTATAGTAACCTTGTTGTACGGGTAGATCTCTTGAGCTTATTCCTCCTGTCTAGCTGAAATTTTGTATTCTTGTACCAACCTCCCCAGCCCCCTCCTCCCTGTCCCCCAGCCCCTGGTGACCACTATTCTACTGTCAACTTCTATGAGTTCAACTTTTTTACACTCCACATATAAGCAAGAGCGTGTGATATTTGTCTTTCTCTGCTTGGCTTATTTCACTTATAATGTCCTCCAGGCTCATCCATATTGTCACAAATGACAGGATATACTTCTTTTCTAAGGCTGGATAATATTCCATTGTGTGTGTGTGTGTGTGTGTGTGTGTGTATTACATTTTCTTTATCCATTCATCCATTGATAGATACGATTCCATATCTTGGCATATATTAGGTTAATTCCATATCTTTGCTATTGTGAGTAATGCTGCAATGAACATGGGAGTGCAGACGTCTTCTCTACGTACAGATGGTCCCTGATGTACGATGGTTCACCATAAGATTTTTCAACTTTAATATGGGTTTACTGGAATGTAACACCATCATAAGGCAAGGAGCATCTGGACTTACAATGGTTTGACTTAACAATTTTTCAGCTTTAAGATGGGCTTATCAGTATTAAGTGCATTTTCAACTTATGGTATTTTCAATTTACAGTGAGTTTATCAGGATGTAACCCCATCATGAGTCCAGGAGTATCTGTAATCATTTAATATCCTTTGGATATATACTCAGTAGGGGGAGTGCTGGATCATATAGTGGTTCTATTTTTAATTTTTTGAGGAATCTCCATACTTTTTCCATAATGGCTGTTCTAATTTGCATTCCAACCAACAGCATGCAAGGGTCTCCTTTTTCCCACATCCTCTCCAAGGTGTTATCTTTCATAGTTTTGGTAATAGCCATTCTAACAGGTGTGAGATGATATCTCATTGTGGTTTTAATATGCTTTTCTCTGATGATTAGTGATGCTGTGCATTTTTTCATATACCTATTGGCCATTTGTATGTTTTCATTTGAGAAATGTCTATTTAGATCCTTTGCCCATTTTTAAATTGGTTTATTTGGTTTTTTACTATTGAGTTGTTTAAGTTCCCTATATATTTTGGATATTAACCCCTTATCAGATGTATGGTTTGCAAACATTTTCTCCCATTCCATAGGTTGT